GGAGGAGGAGGAGGAGGAGGAGGAGGAGGAGGCCAGGACATTCCACTTCCAAAAGTGTTGCTCCAGTGTAGGATTGACTCCACATGTTGTGGTCCCCTTTGCCATCTTGTGACGTGGCTCTCCGTTTTGGGTCCTTTGCGTCTCCTCCTCCCCGATTCCGAGATTCGGTACAAGTGTCCATCTCCTCACCCCCCCCCCCCCCCCCCCTTGTCCCCCCCCCCCTGTCCGTTCCATGTCCCATCACTCCCATTGGAAGCTGCTGTTGGCTCGCTTTTTAACGCCTTAAACCTGGTTCCCCAGGGCGTTCAGGGGCTACGCCGAGAGGAAACGTCGCAAACGGGAGAACGATTCGGCCACTTTGATTCAGAGGTACGGAGGCGGATTGTTTCTCTCTCTCTCTCTCTCTCCCTTGCACGGGTTCAAATTTTTGCCTGGTTGTATGCGCCAGCTGTCACGGGTGCTGCGATTCCTTTCTTTTGTTTTTTTTTGTTTTTACTTTTTCCTGGATGAAAGGAACGAAATGCTTTCAAGATTTCCCACGTCCCTCTTTGCTGGGCTGCTTCGCAGAGAATGGTTTGTTTTCTTCGTAAGGGGAAGTGTTTTTTTTCCCCAAAAAAATCAAACTCAGGGCAATTTTTTTTAAAAAAGGGGCGCGTTAAGACCTCGTCACAAAACCCACGTGCAAAAGTGCAAAAGGGGCAGTGAAGAACATTCATCTGTTCCGATAAAAGGAGAATATTTGCAGCTTAGGGTTGGAACGCGGGGCCTCTGGGGGCTTGAAACAGTTGGGCCGTCTCTGCTTCCTCCCTTGGCAAGAATCTGCACTGCGGTGCTACCTTATACAGATAGTCCTCGACTTACAACGTGTTCATTGAGTGACCGGTCAAAGTTTCAACAACGGCACCGAAAAAAAGAGCGACTTAGGGCAGCTTTTCACACTTACGACCGTTGCTGTGCCCTCCCCTCCCCCACAGTCCTGTGATCAAACTTGGCAGCTGATTCATACTTACGACAGTCTCAGCATCCCGGAGTCACACGTAGTCCCCTTTTGTGACCTTCTGACGAGAAGGGTCAGAAAGAGGGAAAGCTGGATTCCCTTTAAGAACCCTGGTGAGCAGTGGTGGGATTCAGCCGGTGTAACAACTGGTTCGGTGGGTGCAGCGTGTCAGGACTCCAACAAATCCACCCCCATTCAAATCACATTCAAACCACACTCCAACAAATCCACCCCCGTTCAAATCACTAGCCGCATCTCAGAGAAAAAAACATTGATTTATTAGGCGTGGCCATGTTGGCGTTATCTGGAGGCAGCTGACACTAAAATACATCATTCATTTCCCCCTTGACCCTGGTCTAGGCCCCACCCCTGGATGTGTATTCTCCAACGGGACACATCCATAGCCAAGAGTCATCAATCATGCTCTCCAGTAATATCCTTGCACTCCGACAACTTTGGGCTGCCAGGGTGATTATCTAGGCACTTAAGGAATGCACTGTTTTACCCCTTTTCCTGGCAGCTAAAAAGACCAAAGGAGTATCTTTTTTAGTTGACACAGCATTTGAAAAATGACCATTTTTAGCTCTTTCACTTTTAGCTCTGAAACAGCTGCGCTGCGCTCACAAACAAGGAAATAAAATACAGGGAGGAGTAGGTGGGCGGGGCCAAACGATCCCCGGAACTACCGGTTCTCCCAAACCGGTTCGAACCGGCAGAATCCCATCCCTGCGTGTGAATCACTTACCAACCACGGTGGCAAAAGAAGGGTCGCAAACCAGGGCAAAAACCTCACTTAAGCAAGCGTTTTGCTTAGCGGCAGGAATGTGGGGCTCCCTTGCAGGTCGTAAGTCCAGGACTACCTGAATTCCTCCTCTTGCCTCTCGCGCCTCTGCTTATTTTCCTGGCTCCGAATCCAACTCGCATGTTTGAGAAGAACGACCGCTGGAGGGGGGAAAAGCTAACCCAAACCTTCTGCCTTCTCCTTTTCTCTAAAGAGGCTTTTGCAACCCTGAGCATCTCACTAATTTATGGAATTGGGTGGGTGGGAGATTATTTGGGGTAAAATTTATAGGTGGCGAGAGATTATTTCCTTATAAAACCCCTTGGGCTTCGATAGACGACAAGGCTGTTTGCTTGAGGCTGCCAGGGCAGCTTGTAACACTGTTTTGCTTTTCTTCTTGAAGCCGTGCTCAAAGCCACTCACGTTGTTAGTCCTCAGGAAGGCAGGATTCCGATGCAAACCGAGCCCCTCCGTGAAAGAGAATTAATCTGATGGGAAGCAAACCCGGTGATCTGATGGGAAGAAACTCTTTCACATTTGAGGAAAAGGCAAAATAATTCTTTATAAGGGACGCTAGGCAGTAAAGCACCAGAATCACTCCCAAAACACTGCAGAGTATCCCTAAATATCAGAATATTTGTGACGTTCGTGGAAAGAGATCTCAAAACGAATCTGTTCTTTGCAAAAGAAGATGAAGGAGACAGGAAAACTGGACTGCTCTAATCTTGGTAGGATGGATGCAGAGAATTGCCATTCCAGAGCTGTTCATAGGTTGCTCCTGATCCAACATTAGCAATCAAATGAGTGATTCCTAATTCAGATTAATTGGGATAACAGGATAACAGAGTTGGAAGGGACTTTGGAGGTCTTCTAGTCCAGCCTACTCCTTAAGCAAGAGACCCTACACTGCTTCAGACAAATGGCTGTCCAGTGTCTTCTTAAAAACCACCAGGGATGGAGCCCCCACAACTTCTAGTGGCAAGCTGTTCCACTGGTTAATTGTTCTCACTGTTAGGAAGTTTCTCCTAAGTTTTAGGTTGCTTCCCTCCTTGATTACTGGAATCAATAAAAGGATGCAAGTTTGAAAAGTAGTGGTCCAGGATCCTGAGCAATAGTTAGTCCGAAGTTCAGGATTACAGATCCAAGAATATGGATATTACTCCAACTTGCTTAAATGGATTTATTAACTAAATGCATTGCCTGTGTTTGCAAAGGTAGTGTGAAGGTAGATGGATGGACAGATAATGATAGATAGGTAGATAGATAGAAGGATAGATAGATAGATAGATAGATAGATAGATAGATAGATAGATAGATAGAAGGATAGATAGGGATATATAGATAGAGAGATGGAGAGAGAGAGATGATAAAGATAAATAGATGGAAGGATAGATGGAGAGTTAGAGATAGATGGAGAGATGGATGGATGGATAGATAGATAGATAGATAGATAGATAGATAGATAGATAGATAGATAGATGAGACAGAGACAGAGGAGAGAGAGACGGAAATAGCGAATGGTTTATTCATTTTTACCCCATCCTAAATCAAATCAAATAATACATTTTGCGCAAGGGTGTGTGGGTGTAACCCCCATTCTTTTAACCATTTTAGGGGATGGCATTGCAAAATTTCAGAGTACCTCCTATCTCATCAAGCACACTTGGTGACATTGATTTACTTCGCGCTCATTTGGTTGTCCAGATGTCATTTTAATCAGAAATGCTCATCCGCCTGCCTTTTCTCTGGCTCCACGTTCAGCGTGTAAGGATGGTGATGCCCAAAGCAGGATAAAAAAAACAAAAACCCTCAAATAGAGGCTTCTTTGTGAGGAGAAAAAAAATACAAAAAGAGAACTCATCCAAGAATTGATATCAGCAGCCAACGGTCTCGTTTAAATGGTGGCCTATTTCATCTTTCTCATTCTAACTCCACGGAAGACTTTAGAAATGCCTTGACGTAATGAAAAACGACCTTAAACTGTGAACTACGGTGAAAGATACCGTCATAATTTACTCCGGGTGGTTTGCCAGAGATCACCCTGGAGAAACGGCTTTCTTCCTCTTTGCCCTCAAGGCTGATGGCCTTCCATGTGTTTTTTTTTTTCCCCCTTCTTTCAGAAACTTCCGGAAACACCTCCGTATGGTTGGGAGCCGCCGCATGAAGGCGCAAAGTAAGTGAGCAGATGGAGTGGGATCGGGAGTGACTACGTCGTGCCGCCTTCTCCCAGTTCCCAAGATCTCTCCTTCCTCGACCAGGGTTGGACCTTCTGACCCCCAGGGGTCTCAGACAAGCTATCCTAAAGCCCCCCCCCCCGGATAGGACATGTTTGTGCAAAACGTTAGGGAAGATCCTGGGGTGGGGAAAGGAAATTTTTTTGTGGAGGGAAAGCGGGGAACAGGAAATGTTTTTGTGGCACCCACGGCGCTTATAGCAAAAGGTGGTGAGCCAAGGATGGGTGTGATTTTTAGCAATATTTTGTCATAATTAGTTTCCTTCTCCTCCTCTTCCTCTTCCTCCTTTTCCTTCTCTTTTCCTCATTGTCTATCTCTTCCTCCTCATTGTCTATCTTCTCCTTTTCCTTCTTCTCTTTCCTCATTGTCTATCTTCTTCTCCTTCTTTCCTCCTCCTCCTCTTCTTCTTCTCTTCCTCCTCCTCCTCCTCTTCCTCCTTCTCCTTTTCCTTCTCTTTTCCTCATTGTCTGTCTCTTCCTCCTCATTGTCTATCTTCTCCTTTTCCTTCTTCTCTTTCCTCATTGTCTATCTTCTTCTCCTTCTTTCCTCCTCCTCCTCTTCTTCTTCTCTTCCTCCTCCTCCTTCTCCTCCTTCTCTTTTCCTTCCAGCTTTTGCCGAGAGGCGTGAGAGAAGTTTCAGCCGGTCCTGGAGCGATCCAACTCCCGTTAAGCCTGAAAACCTCAGTGACTCCCGAGAAAGTACGTTCCTTTTCCTTGAACACCCAATTCCATGGGAAGTAGGTTGAGGGGTGCGGGAGAGAACGTCAGAATGCCAATCTGAGCAAGTTTGAGCAGTGAGGGCAGAGACAGCAAAGGTCTTGACCTCATAGATGAATCATGCAGACCTTGGAAGACTCCCAACTGACTCTTGCAACCTACAACGGTGTGTAGTCGTAGTTGAACAATAGCTGGAGTGTTTCAGTTCTTTCCACTCCACTCTTGTTCCTAGCCTGGAGCTACTCAAGAGTCACGGGGGACAGACTGAATGCAGGGTTTTTGTGGACTTGTGATGGCAGGATCTCCTTATACTTCATCTTGGACCTGTCCTGAAAGGAGGCCATGGTCCACGTAGGCTCCATCATCATCATCCTTGGAAGCACATGGGAGTTTCTGCATCGACAGAGGTGGACCTCAAAACCTTAACCCTTCTCTCACTCACAGGCCATGAATTTCAGGATTCCTGCTGTGCCATTGACAAAGGGTTTGACTTGAACTGGGAGATGGAGAAAGAACTGGAAGCGGCCGCCTGCTGTGGGGAGGACTTCGTTCCCCCCAAAATCATGGTAGGCCGTCTTCGAGGTCTTCAAGCAATTCGAGGGGCCCTCCGGGATGGGGAAAACCGGTCCTGCCTGCCTCTTGCTCATCCTGCTCCCAACTTTCGTAGTTGGAAGGAAAACTCCTGCCACTTACAATCCTCTCTCCTTCTAGCTCATTTCCTCCAAAGTGCCCAAAGCGGAGTATGTTCCAACAATTATCCGTCGCGATGACCCATCGATCATCCCCATTCTCTACGTAAGTCTTGGACTGGAGCTGCGGGGGAATGTCCTGCCTCCCTGTGTCTCTCCTCCTCCTCCTCTTCCTCCTTATCCACCCATCCATCTATCCCCCTCCATCTGTCCATCCACACATCCCCCTTCCTCATCTCTCATTCTCTCCATCTCTCCAGCCTTCCATTTCCCATTTCTGTCCATCTCCCTCTCCCTTCTCTGTTATCCACTCTTCCTTTCATCCCCTATCTCCTATCTATCTATCTATCTATCTATCTATCTATCTATCTATCTATCTATCTCTTTCATCTATCATCTATCTATCATTATTTGTCCATCCGTCTATCTACCTATCTACCTATTTATCTACCTGCCTTCCTGCCTGCCTATCTATCTATCTATCTATCTATCTATCTATCTATCTATCTATCTATCTATCTATCCATCCATCCATCCATCCATCCATCCATCCATCCATCCATCCATCCATCTATCTATCTATCTATCTATCTATCTATCTATCTATCTATCTATCTATCTATCTATCATCTGTCTAATCTTATCCCTCTGTCTCTATCTGTCCGTCAATCTACAAATCTTTTTCGCTCAATCCACGTATCCTCTATCTTCATCCAACTTCGTACTCAGCTACCTGTACCGCTCTCTTAGACCTCTTAGGTCTTCTTCCTATTTTCCTTCTACCTCTTTCCTGTCATTTCTGCCTCCCTACCTTTCCAGATCTTTTCTCTCCCCTCTTAACTATAGATCTTCACTTGAATCCCACTACCCTTCTCTCTGCCCCATTCTCTCCTCTCTGCTGGTCCTTCCTGGACCTGCCGTGGCTGCCTCCCTTGATCCTTTGCCTCTTTGTTTGTTTTCAGGATCATGAACACGCCACCTTTGATGACATTCTGGGTACGTCACAAATCAAACAAAGTTATGGTTTGAAAGTTGTGTTATATGTGTGTCTGGTAGCTTGGCAGAGGTGGGATTCAGCCGGTTTGCACCGGTTCTACGGAACCGGTAGCAGAAATTTTGAGTAGTTCGGAGAACCGGCCAATCCCACCTCTGACTGGCCCCGCCATCTCTTCTCTGCCTCCCATTGAGTCCCAGCTGATGGACTGGGTCTTCTTTGGTTGCCCTGCACAGGAGAACGGAGCTGGAAAGCAGGTTAGTGGGGCGGGAGGGAATGGGATTTTTGCAGTATCCTTCCCCCTGCCAGGCCCACCAAGCCACGCCCACAGAACCAATAGTAAAAAAAATTTGAACCTCACCACTGTTAAGCTTGGCCAAAGATCCAGCTGGTCTGTGTTATAGGGTGGGAAATCTGGATATATGAAAAGGGAAATCCTAGTAGATCCTTTAGGATGTAAGAAGTCTTAATAACCATTTCAACAGATAAAGAGGTGCCGTATACTTCTTTCATTCTTAAAGTTGAGGGAATCCCTGTCTCACCTTCATTTTTCCTCCCTCAAAGGGTTTCTTTCAACCTCTCCCAAAGTGAGCAATCCTTTAGTATCCCAGGAGGAGTCAAACCTTTAGTAGCCCGGAGATGCCTGTTGGAGAAAATAGGTAGACAGGATACCTCGACTTCCCAACTTCTCCCATAACATGTGGTCTTGATGGGTGGAGCACGGCTGACTGGGGGAATTCTGGGAGTTGAAGTCCGGACATCTCCAAAGTTGCCAAGGTTGGGAAACATTGCTTGAGAGAGAAAGGCCCCCACAGGGCCTTTTCCCTGCTCCTGGGTGTCAAAATAACGATAACAAATCTACTCATCCTCACGGTGGGGCTGGCCAGAATTGGAGACGATCTTCTCCTCCTCCTTTCTCCTGACCTTCCAGACTTAACAAATACAGCTGTTCCTCGCCTTACCCTCCCGATTGAGCCTGACATTTCTGGGACAATCCTCATACATATGGGTCAGTTGCCAAGGGTCTGAGTTTGGATCATGAGACCGTGGGATTGTCGCAAGTGTGAAAAAAAGGGCCACCAGTCCCTTTTTTCAAGGCTGTTCTACCTTCAAACAGTCATAACCAAACTGTTGTAAAACGAGGACTGCTTCTATCCCTCATGGTGCACCTTTGCCCCCAAAGCCATCATCTCCTCCTCACGTCAACCTTTCATCTGACCCTTCCTTCCTTTGTCCACAGAGGAAATCGAAAAAAAACTGAACATTTATCGGAAGGGCTGCAAAATTTGGAAAATGATGATTTTTTGCCAGGTGAGTGAATGAGCGTGCCCTGAACTCTGCCAGCCCTCCCCGAGAGTCCACCGCCACCTTCCAGGCAGGGGGTGGCTTCAAAAAAATTTCAGCCACCGTTTCTCTGCCTCATTTCTGGGTAGGCACGGCCAGGGTGGGCGTGGCCTAGTTGGCCTCCTGCACCACAGCAGAGGGGACGATGAACATTTTCGCCCTTCCCAGACTCCGGAGGCTTTCTCCGAGCGAAAACAGCCTCCCTGGGCTCTGGAGGCCCTTAGGAACACCCCACGGGCCCTGCGTGTACCTGGGATCCAAAATGGGCTGTGTGGGGACTCCTGGGAGAGGCGGGGTGGGGTGGGCAGGGCCAGCCAGGGTTGGGATTTGCCGGTTCGGTAGGGTGTTTCTCCCCCTCCCTCTTTTTGGTGAGACACATATTATCTCCTCTAGTTCAATACCGATTAATACGTCACAGGTGGCCCTCAGCTTATGTCTGCAATCGAGCCCAACATCCTTGTTAAGTGAGACATTTGCGAAGTGATCTTTGTCCTGTTTTATGCGCCTCCTGGCCACATTGGTTAAGGGAATCACTGCAGTCGATAGGTCAGTCACCCAGTTGTTAAGTGAGTCTGGCTTCCTCATTGTTTTTGCTTGTTGGAAGGCTGTGATCCCATGACCTTGGGACACAGAAATTTGAGAAGGTGGTTGAGGTTCTCCAGGCCGATTCTGGAAGAACCTCCTCTCTTCTTTTCTTCTCTTCTTGCAGGGAGGTCCGGGCCACTTATACCTCTTGAAGAATAAGGTCGCCACCTTTGCCAAAGTGGAGAAGGAGGAAGACATGATCTAGTGAGTCCAGAACCTCGCGAGGAATTTGCAGCTGGAGGTCTTTGGGAAATGCCTCCCTCTCTCAAACGTTCTTCCGTCTCGTTCTGCAGCTTCTGGAAGCGGTTGAGCCATCTGATGAGCAAGCTGAACCCGGTTCCAAATGTCATCCACATCATGGGATGTTACGTCTTAGGGAACCACAATGGTGAGAAGGTGAGTCCTGTGAGTAGTTGGTGAGCGAGTGAAAGAACACCTCGACTCCTGGATGACCGCTCTTTCTGAAAACCTCTTTTATGGCTATGTTAACAGAGAAACGGAGTTGGAAGGGACCTTGGAGGTCTTCTAGTCCAACCCCCTGCTCAGACAGGAAACCCTATACAATGCTGGACAACTGGTTATCCAATCTCTTCTTAAAAACCTTGGAGCATCCACAACTTCTGGAGGCAACTGATTAATCATTCTAACTATCAGAAAATTTCTCCTTAATTCTAGGATGATTCTCTCCATGATTGGTTTCCCTCTGTTGCTTCTTCTCTTGCCTTCGGTAGTTTTGAAGAACAGGTTGATCCAGCCCCCACTTCTTCGTGGCAGCCCCTCAAACATTGCAACAGTGCTATCCAGTCATCCCTGGTCCCTTTTTTTCTTCATTAAATGAGACGTACCCAGTTCCTGCAACTGTTCTTCATAGGTTTTAGTCCCCTGGAGGCTAAAATGTATGAAGAGCTGTTGCAGGAATTGGGTATGTCTTGTTTAACGAAAGCTAAGTGACTTAGGTTCATCTCCAGAGGTTTCAGGGTTTATGGTTTAGTTGCCCCAGTGATTATGTTGGAATGAACTGCCAAACCCCGTAGTCGTGGAAAAGGGAACCAATGATTTGTCCCACATCTAAGGAGGCATTTCAAATCACCTTGGACTTCTTTGCTTTCCAGCTATTCCAAAACCTGAAGAATCTTATGAGCCCTTGTTCCGTGACCTTTGAATCTCCTCTTGAACTTTCAGCTCAAGGTAAATGTGAAGCCTGGTCCACCTTTCCCAGGTCTGTGAAAATACACCACATTTGATTGGCACAGGTAGAATTAGCACAGGTAGCCCTCCGTGTATAAGCCCTATTGAAATCAGAATTTTTATTGCCAAGCAAGGGGGTTGCTAAGGTAATCATGCCCGATTTACAGCCCTTTTGAATTTTTTGCCACCATCATTAAGTGAACCGTGGCCATTGTGAAGTGAAACACATGGTCATTAAGCGAATCATTGACTTTGCTTGTTGGAAGCTGGTTGAGCCTGTGATGCTGCCACCATCATCAACACAAGCTGGTTGCCAAGGATCAAATTTTGATCCTGTGATAGATAGATAGATAGATAGATAGATAGATAGATAGATAGATAGAT